AGGCAGAGTTTGCAAACCGAGGTAAATTTTTGCAGCCGGAGCTGGTCATAACCTGAAAAGTTCGTTAGCAGAGGCGTTCGTAACCCGAGGTACCACTGTACCCTGTAAATTAAGTCTGATATAGAATTCCATTTAAACTGGAAAACAGTCCTTGACTACAACTTAATATATCCAATGGTAGAGAACGTAGCTCTGGGTTGAACTGTTGGGTTCTTGGTGTTCTCTGAGCTTGGTTGTTTTCTTGCAGACGTTTCATTACCAGGCTAGATAACAACATCAGTGCAAGGGAGATTGGGGTTTGCTGGCTGTTTTTATGTACAATCTTGCCTTGCCAGTCTTGACTGGGGTATGGTTTCTTCCTTGCTGAAGGAAGCAACGCACATAAACAACTGATCAGAGCTTCAATTGCACGACTGTGGCCAATGTGGATTTTTACTATCCTGGGTAATTTGGTAATCTGGGCAACCTGTCTCCTCCAGTGGTTGGGAGGGTAGAGTTGAGACTTTGAAAGAAAAATTGAACACACCATGTATGTTAAAAAGTTCTTCCCAAGGCCCATTATTCCCACTGGGTTTTTGAATATGGATACAGATGGAAGACCATGAGTTTCAGTCCTGCCTTAGGCACGAAGCCAGCTGGGGGACCTTGGGCCAGTCCCTCTCTCTCAGCCCTAGGAAGGAGGCAAGGGCAAACCACTTCTGAATTCTTGCCAAGAAAACTGCAGGGACTTGTCCAGGTAGTCTCCAGGAGTCAATACTGACTCAAAGGTACAAAAATATAGCCTCTGGGTGGCTTGCAGTATCCAGTAAATACAATATCCAGTATTTTCACCCTATGTATGGAGCATTAGAAACCTTTAACCTGCCTATCTTCATCAGTCAAGCAATCAGGCACATCCAGGCTCCTGGAGATCATTTCCTTAGAAGGCTCTGTCGATTCATCTAGCATGCACTCAACCCTAACTTTGCCCTTGATAGATGATTCTATCTTGCCCTCCTGTTAACTTTGATGCTGGCTTGTTTCAACAAGCCTGCCTCAATTCAGGAACCATTTCCTTCATCGAAACTTAGCAAGATGCAACTTGTTTGGGCTTTGCTGGGGAATCAAAAGCAGATCCTGAGTAGCAGAGGAGAAAATTCAGCCTCCTTCTTTAAAAAGAATTACTGGTCATGATCGTATGGCGGTCATCGCTTGGGCACTTCCGGCTTGATGTTCACCAGATAGGCTTATAGCTAAATTTCTACATGCAGGTTTACAATCTAAAAAAAATGTAATAGCACAACATGGAAAAGAAAGATGAGGAGGGAAAAAAAAGCAAATTTCTGCATTACGTCTTAAAACATCTCTGGTTCCCATAGCTAAATCTACTTGCTGGTTCTTATCAGCACTAAATAAGGGAGTCCGCAAAGCAAAAATGCCTGGCTGGGCCCAAAGTAAAATTCAGACAGTAGGTTGATAGATTTCAGTTCCCTTTCAAGACTAAACAACTTAATTTCAAACGGTCCAGTAAGGAGTTGGGAAATACTAATAGTATTTTAAGAGTTCCATTGTTTGGGGTCAAAGTTGTTGGGAGGGCTTCTTTTGATTATTGTTAGAGAGAGGACTGTGTCCTCACCTGGAGTCCAGCATGATTTGATACCTAATTAATGAGATCTTCTTAAATCAGTGTTGTCCAAACTTGGCCACTTTAAGATGAGTGGACTTCAACTCCCAGAATTCCCCAGCCAGCATGGGAGTTGAAGTCCACTCATCTTAAAGTGGCCAAGGTTGGACAACACTGTCTTAAATGAATCCATTTGGAAATTATTTGAAAAGATTCACAGAGATTGGAGCCTTTCCAATCGTGTTTTAAATCATCTTTCCAAAGCTTCTGGAACCACTGCTTCCCACCCACAGAACATAACCATGGAATAAACACGTTTCAGCCCTCTCTTTTTTTGGCCCGTCAGCACAGCGTAGTGTCCGTCTCATGCTCAGTCCACAGCTGAGGCAGCTTAATATCATCCTGCTGTTATAATAATGCTTTCCCCTTTAAGCAAGCAAGAAACTAAACTTCCACTCACTTCACCAGTGTCATAGTCAAGTGACCCTTAAGGGTCGGGATCAGCCCAGCACTTACTGGCCTTTTTACGTTGGCGTAGGCCAGCCCCTCTGACCCTGGCTTAGAGGCTTGGGTTAGCCTAAGCAGCAGCTAAGAGCAGTGATGGGCATTGGGCTGCAGGTTAAGGTGGGAGGGAGACAGCCAGAGCTCTCTGCTGTTTCATGGCACAACTCTCCCCACGCCTCTCAGCTGTTTGTGGGCTGCTTCTGAACTTGGGTTGAACAGACTTCTGGAATGGTGCTAAACCCATATCTGACTGGAGCGTATCAGCTGATCTGAGCTGATCCTCCGACTGCTTCAGGACAAACCCAGCAAAACTATTGTTGTTGTTCAGTTGTTAAGTCGTGTCCGACTCTTCGTGACCCCATGAACCATATCGC